CGCGAGATCATGACCTGAGCCAAAGTCGGACGCTTAACCGACCGCGCCACCCAGGTGCCCCCGGCAAGAGTTTTCTAAAGAAGATGCTTACCTACTACATAACCGTGCTTTTTCAAAAGATTAAGTTGATGTTGCTCTTGCTGACTAAGATCTTCTTCAGCTTTAGTTGCATCTTTTTTAAGCCTTTTTTGCCTTTCAAACATCCTGTAAGGTGTTGGGTTGCAAATAGGAAACTTCAGAAGGTTTAATGTAGTACCTGAAATACCAAAAAATAAATATGTTGTTATAAACATTATAAAAGAAGAGAGAATAAGGGGAGAAAAACCTACATTTTTGAGGAGCTACCTTGTCTTGGGTACAGTGATTTACTTCACGGAACCTTTGTGACAACCCTCTACAAAATAATTCTTACTTTTACAGATGAGGAAATAGGCTCAGAGACTGGCTCAAAGGCTCAACCTGGAGTTGAATCTCAAATCTGCAGACCTGCTTTTTTTTCCCTTCTTTTCATTTTCACTGTACTATCATCAAGTATAAGAGCACTTCTGTGTATAATTTAACTAAAGTCCTGGACAGAGAAATATGGCCCATCAAAGCTAAACACTGGTTTCAAAGGAACAATGAGGCAGTTTTGCCAACTGTTAAATACAAACAGGGTCACAAAAGGACCTGTTTTGCAATTACAGAAGTTTCTTTTTTCCTTTTTAATTTTTTTTTTAATGTTTATTTATTTTTGAGACAGAGACAGACCATGAACGGGGGAGGGTCAGAGAGAGAGGGAGACACAGAATCGGAAGCAGGCTCCAGGCTCTGAGCTGTCAGCACAGAGCCCGACGCGGGGCTCGAACTCACCGACCGTGAGATCATGACCTGAGCCGAAGTCGGGCGCTTAACCGACTGAGTCACCCAGGCACCCCTACAGAAGTTTCTTAAAACCACAAACTTGAGGGGTGCCTGGCTGGCTCAGTCAGTGGAGCCTGCGACTCTTGATCTCAGGGTTGTGAGTTCGAGTCCCACACTGAATGTAAAGATTACTTAAAAATAAAATTAAAAAGACAAACAAAAACCGAAACCACAAAGTTGACTTTTTCTCTCAGAGTCACATCATATAGCATGAGTGAATTATTCAAATGTTAAATGTGTATAGTATACTGATCTTATGAATAAACTTAAGATATGGAGAATAAGACTGAGAGGGTGGAGTGAGCTTTAGAAAGTAAAAGAAGGAAAAAAAAAGTAAACGAAGGACTTTCCAGAGAAACATACAAATAAGTAAAGCTACCGGAGAAACTTCTAAGAGAGCAGGAACTCTTGCTTTGCTCCCCGGTTCATCTACAGTGCCTAGCACAGTGACTGGAACATAGAAGTGCTCTATGAGAAAATTACTCTAACATATAAGTTTCCAAGCACTAGGCTGACACAAAAGAGAGGTGTGACCAAGGTAGGGAGAGAATTTTTAAAGGGAAGACTCCAGACAGCCCTTGGTGGACATTAAGGAAGGATATACTAGGTGGCCGCGATAAGACTCTCAGCATCTCACAAAAGGAAGGGGACGGGCCTCCTAAGGCTCACCAGGCCAAGAGGAGATGGTGGCTCTGTCGATAGCTTCAGCGCCCTTGGCGATGCAGTAATCAGATTCTAGGAGCGTGTTGAAGAGAGTGGACTTCCCAGCGTTGGTGGCGCCAACCAGGTAGACGTCGCCGCGGTAACGCCAGGAACGCTGAAGCACTGAGATCAATTCTTCGATTCCGTAGCCAGTCTTGGCGCTAATTAGCCTCACGTCCTTGAGCACCGTACGGACCCTGGCAGAAGGCTTCGAATTCTCCTTCTCGTCTCGCGGCCCGTCCTCCCCAGCGTGCTGTAGCCCTCGGTGGCTAGACAGCTGAAGGAGCCCTGCGCGGGTACAGTCGTCCCACAGTCGCTCCCGGAGCCGCTGCAGGTAGCCAGGCGCGTCCTGGGGCAGCAGGTCCACCTTGTTCCCCAGCACGATCAGTTGCTTGGGGCCCACCAGCGCGGGCAGCTCCGGCAGCAGGGGGTCAGGCAGATCCAGAAGGTCCACCATGTAAAGCACCAGGGCGGGCCCCGGCCGTCGCAGCGCTGCGCTCACCAGCTCTAAATACTGCTCGCGGTTCATCTCTACGCGCAGAGCGCGCCGGTGGTGCACTAGGAGCCAGCAACGCTGGCACACGGTCCGCGCCAGCCCGCCGTCGGTCTGCGCCGCTGCGCTGAGGAACTTCTCGCTGGGGAGGTAGCCGGGCACGCCGGGATCCTGGCAGTGCAGCTCCGCTCCGCAGCCCGAGCAGTTCAGGCCGCTGGGTGGCACCGTCGGGTCCGGGTGTCCCACGACCGGGTGTTGTCGACTCCTGTCCCGTAGCTTTTGCCGCCGCCGCTCTTCCCGCCGCTGCTGTTTCTGTAGCTCCTCCTCCTCTTGCCGCTGTTGCAGCTCTCGCAGTTGCTCTTCGAGGGTCGGTGCGGGCTCGGGCTCCGAGACGTACTCGGGGAACAAAAAATGCTCCTCCATGTCAGTTCTTCCTTCGTAATCCCTAGTTGCCGTTGAGCCACGAGAAAGCCTACGTCCCAGGTTTGATGGGTGTTGGGAGGAAGAGGCAGCCACACATCTCTCGAGAAGCTGCTCCTGAGTGCCATGGCGCGCTACCGTGGGAGCAGATCGCCGTAAGAAGGGCCACAGCCGCCTGCAAGCCAGGCGAGCAGGCAGCATGGGGAACACCGCCACGGGTAAGGGCGAGGGTGGAGTCACGCGCGCGCAGGCGCACTGAGGTCTGAGGTGCGTGTTAAATTCGAGACGTAAACCCTGGACTAGCTGAGGGCTGTTGTTTGTCCGACACGTTTCGTCTCTTCCTTTCGTTTCTATTCCTGTGGGTTCTTGAGATGAAGGATCTGAGGCCTGGAAACCCATTCAAAGCTGCGGCAAAAGCACCGGCGACCTAAGCTGAGCTGGGTGGGCAGGAGGCTAGCGGGCTTATTCTATGCGCCACCGCTGGCGCAACCTTTTAATGAATCACGTTTTTAAAAACTTGTTTTTTGGTCCTTAAAACTGCAAAGAAAAATCGAATGCCGCATACTCATGGTCCCATATAAAGCCTTTTATCAATACATCTTTTTGTTTCTTTTTTTCCAGGTGTCATCGTGCAAGGATATAGAAAAATAAACTTTAAATGGCATGCGCCGACTGTGAGAGCCTTTCTTGCAATCAGCCAGAGGAAGCGATGGCCCATGACTTGCGCGTGCGCAATTCTAACCCTTACCTAGGCTCGGCCTACCACTTGCGCAGGCGCAGATCTTACGTTGGCTTCTTTGTGGGTGGCCTCTGGCCTGAAAAGGAGAGCATTCTGGGAACGCCGGAGACGGAAATTACTTCGCCTCACGCTCGAGCGCCGGCGGCCGTCGCTCGTTTTTTTCGGATTTCTAGAGTTAGGAACTTGGAAACCCTTTGCCAATATGTATGACGCGGACGAGGGTAGGTATCTACTCAGAACACTTCGAGGCGACCCATCTAAGGAGGGAAAAGTGGGGAGCTGAATTAATTGAGAATTTGCGGCCTCCTTCCAATCGCCGCTTAAGTATTCCCGGTCATGCCCCCCAAAATTCCCCAGGCCGGGTACAAACCTGGGATTATGAAAGATAGAGGGTGCAGGGAACGTAGCATTAATGTCCCTGGTCAGGTGAGTCTTGTTCTCTCTGCTTTCTGCTCCTGGGTAAGTCTGATACGCCGCTTTTCTATATTGAAATGGCGCGCAGAACAGTTAAGACAAATTCCGTTGTTTGTACTTTGAAGCAAAGGACTCCGTTTTTGATTTCCCCCAGGGCCCCAGTGATTTATTGAATAGTTGAATTTTTGAGTGTCAGCCTGTGCCAAGTATTGTGCTAGGTCAGGAAATACAGCAGGGTCAAAGAATATAGCGTGTATGGAGGGTCGGGGAGGTGAGGAGGGGTTGGTCTCTTTTGGAATTCCTTCATACTGTCAAATGACTAAGTATATTGTCCTAAAAGATCTTTAAATTTCTTCTTCCCACAGGATGGTAGTTTTCAGGTGTTATGTATTTTATTGAGTGGGATCAATATGTATTTTTTCTTTTCACATGTAGAATTCTTAGTCAAATCTAGTGTATTTTCATTATGAATTTTTTAGTATTGTTGTGATTTTAATGTTTGTTTATATTTGAGAGGGAGAGAGACAAAGCACAAGCGCGGGAGGGGCAGAGAGAGGGAGACACAGAATCCCAAGCAGGTTCCAGGCTCTGAGTTGTCAGCACAGAGCCCCACGTGGTGCTGGAATCCACGGACTGGGAGACATGACCTGCTCAGAGTCCTACGACTAACTGAGCCAGCCACCCAGGTGTCCCTCATGTATTTTTAAAGTTCAGTCTTCCATTATTCACAGCTTCTATTTCAGACTTCACTTTTTTCCGACTCCCAGTCCTGTGGCCACCTCTCATGTTTCTATTTCCGCAGCCACTTCATGGAGAAAAAGAAGAGCATAAACTCTACTGTTTAAACTTCTCTGTCTCAGATCTTGAGTCTACAAATTTATAAATATCTTTATTAGATTTCTTAGATTAGAAATTAGATTTCTTCTAGCTCAGAAAAAAATTTGAAGTTTTTTTAGTTTGACATTTTGAGTGCATAATGTATTCTCATTAGAGAATTAGATTTAGATTAGATTTCTTCTAGCTCAGAAAAAAATTGAAGTTTTTTTAGTTTGACATTTTGAGTGCATAATGTATTCTCATCACTCACAAGGTAGAACATATAAAAGTATTAAAGGGTAAGGTCTTAACTCTTGTCCACGATCTAACGTGAGTCCCTTCCACAGTAGGTAATCTCTGTTCTTAGATTCTCTCTTCAGAGAGCTTTATGCATACTAAAGCAAATATAAATGGGATTCTGTTGTCTACCCTTTTACAAACAAAAGGTAACACTCATACTTTTCTGCATTTTTTGAGATATATATAGCTCAATAAATACATATATTTTATATATATGTTTTGTATATATGGGATATTCTCATGAGCACCCTCAGATTTTTTCACACCTTCCTGGTTTGTCTGGGTATACCGTAAGTAGTGTTTTATTGATGGGTATTTGGGTCATATCCGGTCTTTTTCTGGTTCAAGTAGTGCTGTTGTGAATTATCTTGCACTCGTCATTTTGTCCAATGCAAGTATGTCGTTTGGAGAAATTCCTAGGTACAGAATTGTCAGCGTGAATAATACACATTTTAACATTTTGTTAGCTGGTGCCAAGTAACCACTATAGTGATTGTACTAGTTTATATTCTCATTAGCAATGTATAATAATCTTGTGGAAAGAGAGTTAAAGGTATTTCATTTATCAATTCTGCTCCAGCATTGAGTCTACATCCCATATCTGCTTGTGCCCTTTGATATCTTTATTAGATAATGCCTTCATCAGTTTTTAGACACTCCTTTTCACCTGGCTTCTTTTTCTATATGAAATACTAGATCTCTTGATCTCAAGAAAACGTTTGTTTTTCTGTTTGTCCTTAAACTCTTTGTTTACTTTTCTTCTAATATTTTACCTTTCTCCTTTCTTTCACAGCTAGTCTTCTTAAAAAAAAAAAAGTTTCCAATTCCCATTTTTTAAATTCTCAACCTGTTATAATCTAATTGTGCTCAAGCCACTACATTAAAACAACTCTTAGAATGTCAGTGACTTCTCAAGTGATAAATCAGAGGGATTTTTTTTTTAAACATTATCCAAACCCAGGGTGCCTGGGTGGTTCAGTTGGTGGAGTGTCCACCTCTTGATTTTGGCTCAGGTCATGATCCCAGGGTTGTGGAATTGAGCCTTGCATCGGGCTCTATGCTGAGCGTGAAGCCTGCCTAGGATTTCTGTCTCTCTCAAAAATAAAAATAAAGGGGGCGCCTGGGTGGCTCAGTCGGTTAAGCGTCCGACTTGGGCTCAGGTCATGATCTCGCGGTTGGTGAGTTCGAGCCCCGCGTCGGGCTCTGTGCTGACAGCTCAGAGCCTGGAGCCCGTTTCAGATTCTGTGTCTCCCTCTCTCTCTGCCCCGTCTCTCTCTGTCTCAAAAATAAATAAACGTTAAAAAAAAAAAATACAAATAAAAACATTTTAAACCTTAAACTCTGTTGTGGTATTTAACATTGTTGACATCCTCCTGGAAACTCACTCCTTCCTTCTGCCACATAACTCTCAATTCTTCCTACCTATCTGACTTTCCTTCTCATTCTCTTATACTATTCATATTCTCTCTGGAGGATTTCATCTATTTTCCATGGCTTCAGTTACCATTTATTTGTGGATGACTTTGAATTTATATTTCCAGTCCATATGTTTTGGATATCTAATGCCAGTGGACAAATTCACTTGGATGTGCCCCAGGCTCCTCAAATTTGTCACTGCCCAAACATCTATTTTCTTTATCTGTCTTCCTAATCTGCTTTGTCCTGTGTTCTCCATCTCCATGAGTGGTATTACCCTCTTCTGTTGTTGAAGCCAGAAGCCTGGGCATCATTCTGGATTCCTCTCTTCTGTCCCTATTATCTAATGAGCCACCAAGCCCTGAGAGTTCTGCCTCTTAAATATGTCAAATCTGGCCATTTCTCTGTTCACTCTGCCACAATTTCTAGTTCAGGCCACCACCATCTCTTGCCTAGATTACTTCTCCAGATTCTCAAATGGTTTTGGTGCTCCAGTTTTCTTGCCTTTCCAATTCACTCTCCATACTGTGGCCATAGTGATCTTTCAGAATTGAAATCTGATCTAGCCACACCTTTGTTAAAATCTTAGAATGGTTCTATTGGTAAAAAACAGTCTCTTTTACCACTCCAACTTCACACTCCATCCTTCAGCTACATTGGCCTTCTTTCATTCCTTGAATATCTTTCATTTTGGAGTCTTTCACGAAAATTTTTTTCTGTTTGAAATATTACTATCTCTACCCCTCCTGTCTCACCCCTTTGCTTTTGCCTGGTTTACTCCTGTTTGTTCTTATGTGAGATTGCTGCTCAGCTCAGCTTTTGGGAAGTCTACCCTAACCTCCTTAGGTCTTGGTTAGGACTGTCCATATCACTTTGTTCTTCCTGTTAATTGAGTTCATCTTGTTTGTATCCCCCACAGTAGGTGATAATCTGAGGATACAGCTGAAGATTTACTATATCTCTGGGATACAGTAAATACATTCAGTAAATATTTGATGAGCAGGTGAATGAGTAAATGAGTCTCATTCATGGATTCATTTCTTTTCACATGACTCTAATAGGGGTATTCCTTAATTTCCCCCCTTCAGTCTTCTCTACATAAGCTTTCCATATTCTACCGGAATAATTATCACCTATTTGTAATATTAATACAATTATCACCTTATTAATTATTATCACTTAATAATTATCACCTGTTTGTAATTTAGAACTCTTATTTGAGCTTTATATTTATATCCAGTTGTTTGCTACAAGTATTTAAAGGGATAAATGATCTACAAGTATACCTAAAGCTGACCTCCTTATTTCTCCCCCTTTCCCACCTTTTTATTTGCTTCTCTGTGGCTGTGATGTTAGCCTCTAATCTTTCATCAAAGCTGGGTATCTCTGAACTATTTTAGATACCTTTGTCTTACCCCTCCCACCATGTATAGGGGTCAGTCCAGTCCATTGAAGAAGCAGTCATTACATAATTTATTTTGAATATATGTGTTAATTTTATTTTATTTTTTAATTAAAAATTTTTTTAATGTATTTATTTTTGAGACAGAGAGCATGAGCAGGGGAGGGGCAGAGAGAGAAGGATACACAGAATCCGAAGCAGGCTCCAGGCTCTGAGCTGTCAGCACAGAGCCTGATGCAGGGCTTGAACTCATGGACTGTGAGATCATGACCTGAGCTGAAATCAGACACTGAACCAACTGAGCCAACCAGGTGCCCCATGTGTGTTAATTTTAAAATAGAAAATTCTTAAGTTTTGCAGACTGCATAAAAGTCAGAATATAAAAATACAGCACTTTTTTTTTTTTTTTTTGAGAGTGGGTGGTGGAGGGGCAGAGGGAGGGAGAGTGAGAAAGAGCCTAAGCAGGCTCTATGCCCAGTGAGGATGGGGGGTGGGGGGGCTTGATCTGAGTACCATGAGATCATGACCTGAACTGAAATCAAGAGTCACACTTAACCAGACTGAGCCACCCAGGCGTCCCTCTCATACTAATTAAAAAATTTTTTTAATGTTTTATTTGTTTTTGAAGGAGAGAGAGACAGAGTGTGAGTTGGGGAGGGGCAGAGAGAAAGACACACACAGAATCCATCCAAAGCAGGCTCCAGGCTCTGAGCTGTCAGCACAGAACCTGACACAGGCCTCGAACTCAAACTGCAGGATCATGACCTGAGCTGAAGTTGGACGCTCAACTGACTGAGCCATCCAGGCACCCCCATTTACCTTCTTACATAAGAAGATGAGCCTAATATCAGAGGACCAGTGCACTCTGATTTTTCAAATGTCCTATTGTTCATATTACTATTGCTGCATAACCTAAAATTTGGCTGCTTGAAAACTAATTTAGTGTGTTCATGGATTCAGTGGGTCAGGAATTTGGACAGAGCATAGTAGGAATGACGTGTTTGCTCCATGATGTCAGTGGTTCAGTGAAAGACTTAAAGGCTGAGTGTTGACATTTGTGGGCTGTATGATCTAGAGTGTTTATTCACGTTTCTAGAAGGACTCAAGGACCAGGATTGCTGACCGAACCATCTATAAGTGTTCTCTCCGTATGGTTTGGGCTTCCTCACATTAAACAAGCCTTAGAGTAGTAGAGCTTAATTAACGGACACTCAAAGCTCCAGAAGCATGTGTTTCAGCAAACAGGGTAGAGCTGTGTTGCCTTTTCTTACATAGCTTTTAAAGTCATGTAGTGTGGTTTTAGTTGCATTATCTTAGTTTTGGCACTGTCAAAAACCCCTCAGATTTAAGGGGAGGAAACATAGACCCTGTATCTTGATGATAGGCATATCAAGGTGACATTATAAAAGAGCATGTGAAATGGAAGATACAGTTGTGGCCATCTTCAGAAAATACAGTCTGTCACACCTTTACATGTATGAAATGCTGTTGTAATAGACCATTGTACCTTAAGGTATTGCCCAGCTATTGGAACACTTCTCTGGCTTTACTCCCCTACCCTAATCTGTCCCTCCAGTCTCTGAGGAGCTTATTTTTTTTTAATGTTTATTTATTTTGAGAGAGTACCCAAGTGCATGTGAGCAGGGGTGGGGGGTGGGCAGAGAGAGAGGGAAGGAGAATCCCAAGCAGGCTCTGTGCTGTTAGCACTGAGCCCAACTTGCGGAATGATCTCAGGACCACGAGATCATGCCCTGAGTGGAAATCAAGAGTCAGACGCCTTAACCGACTGGGTCACCCAGGTGCCCCTCTGAGGAGCTTATTGACTAGAGGACTACATGCTTGCTCCTAGTTATTATTACAGTTAGCTATTCATGAGAATTACATGGACTTTCTGGAGAAGATGGAATATTAAACAAATTCACACAACTTACACTGAACCTTTGTAATTGTAGCCTCTGTATATTGGGAGAATACCTATGTGACATAGACCTTTGTATACGTAGATGTATACCTATGTATATTATACGTTAGTAATAACTCGATTAATTGAGATTTTTGAAGAAGGGTAAAAGGATTGTTTTTTATTTAGCAGAGAGTAAATGTGTTTCTGCTACTTCAAACCATAGGAGTGAGATATGCACATGAATACAATATTTTTGGTTTTTGCAGATATGCAATATGATGAGGATGATGATGAAATCACCCCAGACTTGTGGCAAGAAGCATGCTGGATTGTAATCAGGTAACTTTTTAGACTAAACTAAGCCTTAAGAGGCACAATAAACTATAAAAGGATTTCCTGCTTATTCTGTTCTTGAAAATTAGATGTTTTATATGTATATGCTCCATGAGAGCTGGTTTCTCTATTTATGTATTTAACTTGAACCTTTAAAGTATTTTAAGACTTAAAAAGTTACATGAAGAATTTACGTATACATTTCGCTTAGATTCCCTAGATGTTAACTTTATACAGTTGCTTTGTGTTTTTTTCCCTCTCACTACATATTTTTTCCCTGCGACATTTGAGAGTCTGTTGCAGACCTAAACATATTCTTTTACATGCTTATAAGTTCTCAAAATCAGGAAATTGATACTAATACAATAATTTAATCTACAAATCTTATCCAAATTTTGCTGGTTGTCTCACTAATGTTGTTTATAGCAAAATAAATTTTTTTCTGATCCTGGATCCAACCTAGGATTACATATTATGTTTAGCTTTCATGACTTGTTTTTTTGTCTCTTATAATTTAGAACTGTCCATAAGCCTTTCTCTCTCTCTCTCTTTTTTTTTTTTTTTTTTAACTTTGGCATTTTGGAATGCCAGTTACTTTTTAGAATGCCCCTCAGTTTGGGTTTGTCTGATGTTTCCTTATAATTAGATTCAGATGATGACATTTGGCAGCAGTGATGTTCTCTTTGCAGTCCATCAGGAGGCATGAGATGCCTATTTTTTCCATTTCTGGTGTTAATTTGATTCCTTAGTTGTCTTATTATTTTAAATGGATAAAGAGTTATGTTAGGTTGTATTTTAACCCAAATTTCCATCGAATTCTAAATGCAATTAAGATGTAATAAAACTCGGAAGCCTTAACAATAGGTAAGAAAAGTAACTTTTCATTTTTTAATGTTTATTCTTTTGTTTATTTATTGAAGTTTATTTATTTTGAAAGAGAGTGAGCGAGAGGCAGAAAGAGAGGGAGAGAATCCCAAGCAGGCTCTGCACTGCCAGTGCAGAGCCAATATGGGGCTTTGAACTATGAACCATGAGATCATGACCTGAGCCAAAACCAAGAGTCAGACATTTAACAGACTGAGCTACCCAGATGCCCCTAGTGTTTATTTATTTTGGAGAGAGAGAGAGACAGGAGAGAGAGAATGAATCAGAGGATCTGAAGTAGCCTCTTTGCTGATAGCAGAAAGCCTGATGCAGGGCTCCAACTCACAACATGACCTGAACTGAAGTCAGATGCTTAACCAACCGAGCCACCCAGGCACCCCAAGAAAAGTAACTTTTTTTTTTCTTTTAATACTTATTTTTGAGAGAGAGAGAGACAGAGTCAGGATGTGAGTGGAGGAGGGGCAGAGAGAGAGGGAGGCACAGAATCTGAAGCAGGCTCCAGACTCTGAGCTGTCAGCATAGAGTCTGATGTGGGGCTTGAACTCATGAACTGTGAGATCATGACCTGAGCCAAAGTCAGATGCTTAACCAACTGAACCACCCAGGTGCCCTGAACCTTGTTTTGTTAAAAATGTATTGAGATTTGGGGATATAAGTGTATATTTTTACAATTAAACATGGCTATAAAAACTTTGTACTGAGATATTGGTATCTTCTGTGATATTTGAGTATTAAAACACCAAGAGGCATCTTGCTAAGAAAAAATAACTAGGTAGTTACTCTGTGAGTGTGCACAGGGAGAGGGAGAGAATCTTAAGCAGGCTGCATGTCCAGTGTGGAGCTGGACATAGGGCTTGATCTCACAACTGTGAGATCATGACCTGGGTTGAAATCAAGGGTCAGACACTTAATATTAAGTCACCCAGGTGCCCTTTAAAGACATTTATAATTAGGGTCTCCTTATAGTTCTTATATTATGGTTTAATTATTTTACCCATAAGTCTTGTTTTCCTAAACTTAATAAGTTCTACAAAGAAAGTGTTCCTAGTCTCATCCCTTTTTTGGATACCTCATAGTATCTGGTATAATGATGGACATAAGGTGGTTGGTATTTAATGATTATTTGTTGGATTTAATTATAATGAAAATGAGGAAGTATGCTAGAAAACGTCACTGAATTATAACTGGTTTTAAACCCAAATATTTTCCCAGTTCCTATTTTGATGAGAAAGGCTTGGTCAGACAGCAGCTGGATTCTTTTGATGAGTTTATTCAGATGTCTGTTCAAAGAATTGTGGAAGACGCCCCACCTATAGACCTACAAGCTGAAGCTCAGCATGCTAGTGGAGAAGTTGAAGAACCGGTAAGATGGTTATTCTAATAAAGTAACATATGTAAAAGAAAAGTATTGATTTGAAATTTCAGTCCTTCTGTCAGCTGGCCTAAAGGTTTAAAAAAAATGGTAGGTGTTTTTAGCAGGGTGCTTACAGCATTTTTAAGAAGCTCTTGATTTATTCTTCCTAATGGAGAGATGCATTTTGCAAGTAGTCCAAAACTAACCTTTATTCAGATAGTAGAGATTTAATAACTGGGGAGAGGGAACTTAGAAATATAATGAATTACTAAGAGAAACAAGCCACAAATAGTTAAGCCCCCCTTTTTTCTTTTACAGTAAGGAATCATAAAATGTATTTGAAGGACTTTTCCCCTTTTTATTATTATTTTTTAAAGTGTATTTATTTTGAGAGAGCGTGAGAGCACACGAGTGGGGGAGGGGCAGAGAGAGAGAGGGGTAGAGAGAATTCCAAGCATGCTCCCGGCTGTCAGCGCTGAGCCTGACTCAGTTCTCGATTTCAGGAACCATGAGATCATGGCCTGAGCCAAAATCAAGAGGCAGACGCTTAATCAGCTGTGCCACCTGGCACCCCTCTTTATTTTTTTTGTAAGAAACACATTATTATAATTATATAAGAGATTATAAAGGGAAATGACCCAAACATACCAGCTGTTTTAGTTTTTCTAAGTTTCCTAGAGTCTTTGTTTACACATATGTGTGTTTTTAGCATTGTTAAAATCATAGGAAGAGTCTGATTTTATAATCTGGTTTTACATGAGTGATTGTGAAGAAGTATGTAGTCCAAAATAATGGCTGTCCCTAGTTTTTGAGAAGAGAGGTAGCATTGTGGGCTTTGAGAGCAATGGGGAAACTGAAAAACAAAGTGAGGGAGAGCCCCAGTTCAGTCCTTCTTTTATATCTAACCAGTTCAGTCTTTCTTTTCTGTAGCTAACTAAGCTTCTTTTTTTTTTTTTTATGTTTTTTATTTTATTTTTGAGAGAGTGAGACAAAGCACTAGCAGGAGAGGGGCACAGAGAGAGGGAGACACAGGATCTGAAACAGGATTCAGTCTCTGAGCTGTCTGAACAGAGCCTGATGCAGGGCTTGAACTCACGGACTGTGAGATCATGACCTGTGTTGAAGTCACACGTTCAACTGACTGAGCCACCCAGGAACCCCTCTGTAGTTAAGCTTCTGAGGGTTGATCTGTTCTTCTCATTCTAACTGGAGACACTGCATAGACTTGCTGTTAAGAACAAAAATAATTGACTCTTTTGGCACTGTACTGGAAAAATGGGTATACTTTTTTTTTTTTT